CCCCCCCACCCTCCCCACTGCGGTTCTCGGTAGAAACTGATGAAACGCGCTCGCCCTTGGCGCAGCCTAAGGAGAGTGTATGAATATTTCAGCGTCTCGCAGGCAGCCCCGTAAAGCGATCGCTGTGTTATTAAGAGGGGAGCAAGAGGAGGAGGGTTAAGTTTGCCGCTGCGGTTTTTGTTTTGGTTTGGTTTATTCGGATGCTGATGCAAGGAGACTTGACGCATTCCGGCACTGGCTCCGGCTCCTCAACCAGCGCGTCGCACTCGCAGCAGGTAAGGAAAAGCCCCTTTTGCCCCCAGGTTGTTGGGCTGTACTCGTACAGTTTGGGTCTAGGGTATCAATCTCCATCCCGTTCTCTTTCTCTCTCAGTCGTGTTTAGCTGCTGCAAAGCGAGAGAGCAGATGCTTTGCTCCCCTATCCCTAATCCCTCCCCAGTCCGTGCTCAGCTAAGTCTCCACCGTCTGTGAAGTGGGGAGAATGGTGGTCAGGAGACTTAGGGCAGTAATTGGCCCCGCTGAAGCTGCCTGGGAAGTCCTGATGCACTCAGGGCACCGCAGGGTCCTCACTGGCCCCTTCCTGCCTGGAAGGCCCCGCATGTGTGGGGACACGTAGGGCTCTGCCTGCACTGCCGTAGTGGGCAGAGTGGGATGTTCTTGCTGAGGTGAAAGCCAATCCATCGCGCCTGAGTGTGTGTGTGTGTGGCGAGGCTTGGGGGCTGGTTTCTTGTGTTTCTCTCCTCCCTGGCAGGCTCCATCCTGAAAGTGAGCTTTGTGGCTTCCAAAGCAGAGTATCTCCAGCCTTCCCCACCCAGCACGCAAGAGGACAGGACTGGGATGGGGGAGATGGGAGTGGGGACAGGTGATGGAAATTTGCTGAGTTGGCATCGCAAGGACTTGCCTCCCAGCCACCCTGTGATCGATTGATTGATTTATTTATCTGTGTGTATGTGTGGGTGTGTGTGGTAACTTCGTGCCAGCAGCCGTGGTGATGGTCGAGCCGGCGAGAAAAGTGGACGGATCAAGTTAAAGGCAAAAGGAGGCAGCTGGGGAGGGGACCCCAGCCTGGGGCTGTGCTTCATTGACCTTCAGCCTCCTCCCGGCTTGGGGGACAGGACCCCTCACCTTACCTGCCCTCTTCCCTCCCCTAAAGGTACTTCTTCCCTCTTTCTTTATCCTCCCATCAACCCTGATGCCTCTCCCTCCATCCCATCTCTCCTTCCCCCTTTTGGATATTTCCATCCCTTAGGCTCCTTAGCCATCCCTTCCTCAGGCTCTCCATCCCACCCCATCATCCCTCCCTGCAGACTCTGAGCCTCCCTTCCCTTCCCTTTCTCCCCCCCTCCACCGAACTGCCCTGGGACTCTCTGCTCTAGTCCCCCCTCTGAAGTCCCTCTCCCTCACTTCTCCCCTGCCCCTGGACCCTCTTTCCTGTGTGCCACCATGACCGTGATGGCTGGAGAGAACATGGACGAGACTTCTGTGCTGCCTGGCCACCCCCAGGATAGCTACCAGCCTGCTGCCCACGATGACCATGAGTGCTGTGAGCGTGTAGTGATAAACATTGCCGGACTACGCTTTGAGACGCAGCTGAAGACCTTAGCCCAGTTCCCCAACACGCTGCTGGGCAACCCCAAGAAGCGCATGCGGTACTTCGACCCGCTCCGCAACGAGTACTTCTTCGACCGGAACCGGCCCAGCTTCGACGCCATCCTCTACTACTACCAGTCCGGGGGGAGGCTCCGCCGGCCGGTCAATGTGCCCTTGGACATGTTCTCTGAGGAGATCAAATTTTATGAGCTGGGTGAGGAGGCCATGGAGAAGTTCCGGGAAGACGAAGGGTTCATCAAAGATGAGGAGAGACCCTTGCCGGAGGGGGAGTACCAGCGCCAAGTGTGGCTCCTCTTTGAGTACCCAGAGAGCTCTGGGCCTGCAAGGGTCATTGCCATAGTCTCTGTCATGGTGATCCTCATCTCCATCGTGATCTTCTGCCTGGAGACGTTACCTGAGCTGAAGGAGGACAAGGAGTATACAGTGCATCGCACTGACAACACCACCCAGGTCTACAAATCCAACATCTTCACAGATCCCTTCTTTGTTGTGGAGACCCTATGCATCATCTGGTTCTCCTTTGAGCTAGTGGTGCGCTTCTTTGCTTGCCCCAGCAAGACTGATTTCTTCAAGAATATCATGAACTTCATTGACATTGTGGCCATCATCCCTTACTTCATCACCCTGGGCACCGAGATGGCTGAGCGGGAGGGGACTCAGAAAGGAGAGCAGGCCACCTCCTTGGCCATCCTGAGAGTCATCAGACTGGTAAGAGTCTTTCGAATCTTCAAACTCTCCCGGCATTCTAAGGGCCTCCAGATTTTGGGACAAACCCTCAAAGCGAGTATGAGAGAGCTAGGTTTACTAATCTTCTTCCTCTTCATTGGGGTGATCTTGTTCTCTAGTGCAGTATATTTTGCTGAGGCTGAAGAACCTGAGTCTCATTTCACAAGTATCCCCGATGCTTTCTGGTGGGCGGTGGTATCCATGACCACTGTGGGCTATGGTGACATGTACCCTGTGACAATTGGAGGCAAAATCGTAGGCTCCTTGTGTGCCATCGCTGGTGTGCTGACAATTGCCCTGCCTGTACCTGTCATCGTGTCCAACTTCAACTACTTCTACCACCGAGAAACAGAAGGGGAAGAGCAGGCTCAGTTACTTCACGTTAGCTCCCCTAATTTAGCATCTGACAGTGATCTCAGTCGCCGCAGCTCCTCCACAATCAGCAAATCTGAGTACATGGAAATCGAAGAGGATATGAATAATAGCATAGACAATTTTAGAGAGGCTAATCTGAGAACTGGCAACTGCACTGTAGCCAACCAAAACTGTGTTAACAAAAGCAAGCTGCTGACTGATGTGTAAACAAAAAAAACAAACAAACCACCATAGAATCCCCACTCACAGCTTGAAGACTTTAGTGACACAGTCACACTTTGTAGATGCTTTACTGATAGTCTTTGAATGCTTTATTTACCTCGTAAATGCATTGTTGCATTGCGAATTTGTGCTCAGCGATAAAGAAGCTTCCAGGACCACGAGGGATAAGATTTTGTTTCTTTTGAAAAAGCGTTTTCCACCTGGTAAATGATAACCATTTGAACTAGTTTAGTTTCAAGCTGTATGACGCTAGACCTAAACTTTTCCTCTCCCATCTCTTTTTGGGTTTTTTTTTGGATGGAGTTAAACTAAGCAAGGCAGTTTTTAGAGCTATAAAGCATATGCATGGATTCCAGTAAAAATATTCTGCAAAACTGCACAGTTGCAAGAAATTGCATCAGATAATAATAACAATAACAATAAGAAATAATAATGATAATAATAATAAAAATTAGCAAAAACATGCAGCAAGCATTTGTCATGGTTTTTATGCAGGAGTGCAAATTTTCCTTCCACCCCCTTTGTGAAAGATTACATGCTTCCAACCTACAGATCCACATATCACCTTGTTAAAAACATACTTAAGCCTGGTCTCTTTTTGCTGTCCATAGAAGAACTACTCTAAAAGGAAAAGAACCAACCAAGCCGAAGACAAAACATCTGCAGTGCTGCTAAGTTCTCTTACATGCAGATGATTTAAACACACTTTTCGTTTTCCTGGTCCAGAACCGGATACGAAACTTTAAGCCCCTCTGTTTCAAGATAGCACAATGGAGTTTAATATAAGCATGTTAGAATTTGATACTATTTGTTTTATAATCGCATGCCTGAAACGTTACCTCAGACAATAGTGGATAAGCTTTTGTTCGAATGGAATAATCTAAAAATAGGTCCTTTATCTCTCTTTTTTTTCTTTCCTTTTCTTTTACTTCTTGATTTGCATTCACCAGAAGTGCACTCCTTAATTTATTAAATCGTTAACTAGTAATTTAAAGTACTGTATTTAAGTGCATATGTTAAGTCAAATGGGAAAAATAACTTTTGGAGATCAAAGCATGTTCAAATATTCAGCATTATGGCCTATTTGATTAAGGTATAACTTGAATTAATTAATGCATGAACTCAACAATAATAATAATAATGATAACAATAAAAACAAAAAATTAAAAAGTGCTTGATAGATCGAGGGCCTAAATGGACTGATTAGAAAAGCCTGATTGTTTTCCTGCACTGCTTAGGGAAATGTTTGGACTTTTGTCCAGGTATTGTCAGAAAGGAAAATATCCCATCCCTTAAAGGGAAAGCTATACGAAAAACTAAGAAATCAAGTTATCTATAGCAACACCTGAAACCTAGTATCCTTTACAGTAGAAAGGTGCAGATGCATGCTTTTTGGTGCATTCTCAGAATGTAAATGAAAACTTACCTATTATATGCATCCAAATTGCAGCAGCTGGTTTCTTTTGCAGTCATCAGTTGGGAGTTTTTTGTGTTCCCCTAAAACTCACCGAAGAGACACAACAGCTTGATTTAGATAGTTGTGCAGTGCCTTTGCCTTACAACCCATAAATTGCTGAAAGTGCCTCCAGTGCTGGTCAGATACAGCAAAGGAAAGGGCAAGTCACCAACACACTGTCAGAGGTGTTCTGTGCTCCCTCCTGGCACGGTACAGAAGGGGGTAGAGAAGGAAAGAAAGAGCAAGTGCAAGTCAGAAGGATGCAGGAGAGGTGGAAGACTTCAAGCTTTCCTAGGTTGTTTATAGAGACATTGCTGCCACCATTCTATCTGCCCTTCCCTTCCCTGAGATGGCTTTTTGGCAGCCTGTCCCAGCATGGCAGGATGCAGGAGGGTCTAAGGACTAGCAGCCTAGTCAGGCAATCAGAATGAAGAGCTGTGCTTTTCATTCCCTTGGATCCCCCAGTGGGTAAGTGAGGGAGGATTTCCAGTGCCCTGCCATCCCTGTCTTCTCCATGCTGTTTCAGCAGTCTGTCACATCTTCCATCCCATTACAGATCCTTTGAGCCCTATTCTTCTTTCTGGTCCCTAACCTTACTCCCACCATCATCTGGTGAAGGAAGCAACACTGTGATAAAGTGTCTTCTGCAATATGCCAGCCTTGACTGCTAGGCCCTAGAGGACAACCTTTGATCTGAGCTAATGTAGGCACTAATCTATTTTTTTTGAAATGGACAAAGTTGAGGATCTTCATTGTGTACTTAGCATGTGGCCAACTGCTGTCCAACACTTCTCCTTCCACACTGGACAGATCCTTTCTTCCCCTATCTTTATGATATCTCTGTGTGTATATATATCTCTCTCCATATATATATGCATAAATATAGATGTGTGTGTCTGTGCATGTGTGTAACACACATATATATATAAAATCAAGGCACTTGGAGTTAAGAAACAACCCTAACTCTGCAGTTACGCACAAGCCTGACCTGCCAGGTTTTCAGAAAGACTTGCCTTCATTTCTCACTCTGTGGCTTTTGTGAATCTTAATGATGAGAAAGCAATCAACAACTGAGGGAGCTCTAACTCCTGCAAGTGATGCAAAGTACCAGATAAAACAGGGCATTACACCCTCTAGATAGGTATTGTAAAGCTTCCACTCACACCCCTGCCCATCACACAACTCTCTCCCTGTTAAATTCTGCTAGTCCTGATCTTCCCAAACTCTTGAATTTTTGGATACAACTTCTCATTTCAGCATAGATTTAAATGCTGCACTCAGCTTATAAAAAATCCCACAGCCAAACAACTGATCTAAACTAATACAAACAGCAATAATCAATTCAGTGCTGTGGGACTGATGATCAGTGAGTAGCATCTGGGAGATGAGGTCTCACTTTGCTAACTTAACTTCTTCCACAGTTGAGTATGCACATCTTAGTTTAATGAGCAGAATGATAATCATCCTGCATGTATCAAGAGAAAAGTGCTGCTTGCAGCATTTCTGCTTTCTCAGTAGTCCTAGGTGGATTATTAGGACTCAGGGTGTTTTGGGGAGCCTGAATGTTGCTTTGTCCATTTATAGCTCACTGCAAAGGTTCTCAATACATATGGAGCACAGGAATTAATACCGTGTAGCACAGGCATGTGTTTGACACAAAAAAAGAAAACAAACAAAAACAAACAAACAAAAAAACAGACAAAAAACCAAACCAAAAACAAGCAAATGAAAAAAGCTCTTACTTTCTTTATATAGGAGTGCTGAAATGTCTTTGTGAGCCTGAAGGTGCACTTAACAAACTGCCTGTTCTTGTCAATAAGCATCCTTCTCTTTCTTTCCTTCCTCTTTTTTTTTTTTTTTCTTTTTCTCCTCCTTTATTCTCCTCTTTTTTCTTCCCTTTCTGACATATGCTTCTTTTTGCCACGCATGATCTTTCTGATGTTCTTTGTTAGTGGAAGGGGACTGGAAATGAACTGATGGCCAATTTAGTGCATCTCTGAAAGAGAGGAGAGACCTTTGTTTGGTAGGGACCTGCTAAAAGTGATGCCCACGTTTTGTGCTGGACAGACAAACTGGTAGATACGACAGTCTTAGCTGGTCTGTAGTTTGGTGAGGCAAGGCAGCAATTCCAGCATGAGGAGTCACCACCCAAGCCTCCTTTACAAGCCACTGCTCTTTGCTGCCTTCTTCATTGCTCCCATACAGCTTTTACTTTATCCACTCAGTGGAGGGTATGAGGGAGTGAGCAAGGCAGCAGTGCAACATGGTGTGGAGGCAGGAATGAAGTGGAGAGGCAGTGGCCAGGAATCCCATAGGCTGGGATCACTGCCAGAATTCTCCATCTGGTCCTATCATCCTTAGCTATAGAGCACTCGGAACAGGCAGGGGAGCAAGGGGGGAAGTGACAATCTCTGCACTCCCTTTACATATCTGAGAGGTTGCTGCCAAGCTGCCAAGAGCTCAAGTCCTCTGCGTTGCAGCTCCAGCAGAGACAATGAACTGGATTGACTTATCTTTACCAGGAAGTCAGTGTGCAGGAAGCCAGAATGTGAGTCCACAGCATCCTAGTAGACCCATGCAGATTCCCTGCATGGGGTCTCTTAAACCTTGTATCCACTGGGGACTTCAGGAAAGCTAATCTGAATTCATGAAAGGTGTGCATTTAAAGTAGATTTATTAAACTGCTTTAAAGCCCAGCATGGACATTTTATTGCAGAATTAAAGCAAACTGAATCTGATTTGGAGTCATTCTTTTTGGAAGGAAAGTAAGCTGAATTGAATTAAGGTTGCTTTAATTATGAACACAGTGGGGCTTAATGCAGTTTACCTCATCTGTCTCACAAGTTCATTCAGGTAGATAAGACCTTAGTAATCATTAAATGGAACTGACCCTACATTGTAGGGGATGCCTGGGCAGAGCGTGGCCACGTGCTACAAAACTCTTGGGTGAGTGCTGGAAATTCACCACCTGGCTTACTGAGGGATAACATGTTCCTGGTGGCAATTCTAGTGATTTCCTTCCTTTTTTTGTGGTTGACACATTTGTAGGTGTGAGGAGAATCAATCTTGCTGCCTTCTGGGAAGCTGACAATGATGCTGGCCCAAGAAAATTAGTTTCTGCTTACAAAGTCTCTAAGTGTGCACATACTTAACCTGAGGTACTGTTGATCAGGTGGACGAACACTTGAAAGACAGTGTGAAGCACTTGAGACAAGACAAAATTCAGCAAAAATCCTCTCATTTTCAGTAGTGATTTTGCCCAAGTAGAGATTTCAGGGATCAGACCCTTCTCAGCATATCAGCTGTGTATCAAACACACAAATCAATAATTGAAGCAGTGGCAAATTTTGACACATTTTTTTAATAAGGAACAATTGTTTTCATTAGATAGAAGTACAGAAAGTTTGTTCCTGTTATAAGAGAGCAGAATCCCTAGTGGAACATAAAAATCTGATTATTTTTTAAGGAACTGAGGGTAATTTTCCCTTTTCCATAGTTCACACTTGGACACTGCAGTTTCTCATGTGCA